TGGCATATGGCCTTTTATGCTCCATCCTCCGATCCCTGCCCTTCAGCACTATACTCACACTCGTATTTCAATATTTACAAGTCCCATTTATTTACATACTCCGACGCAACACCTTAAATTCCCTTACACGTCAAATTTAAAAGAAACATTCTGGGCCCAGGCCGCCCATCAACTGAGCCCCACAAGCCGCGCGGTGCGGTACACAGTCGCCCGTCCCTTTCCAGACTCCCCACGGTGTATAATCCCCTCCGTCCGCCTTAATCACCACGGGGCGCCGGACGAGGGTCCACGTCGGCACGCGTCTCGCGCCACGCGCACAGTTACATAGTTTACCGAAATCGAATTGTGAACTTAAGCTACCTAGACTGAAAGTCCCAAGAATAAATTTAACTACCTAAACTGAATGGCCTAAAACATTGCAGACGACACCTAAAAAGGGGAATATAATGTGGCTCACATAGCAGTAACGAGGGGGATTGAAGGATACTTGAAGGATTTTAGGGACTAGGTGCGCACCCGTGTTCACCGCGTGACCTTACTTGAGATGGAGTCGCTGACATGATGGTCGTGTCCGTCCAGCGCCCGGCCCGGCGGCCAGAGCCGCGCCGCCGGCGCCGTGATGCCAGCCGCTGGTGTCTCGTGGGCTGTCCGCGATGTCAGACGAGAGACGTGGGCCGAGAGTGCCACCGGCGCGGGATGCGTCGTCCGAGAGAGCGAGGACCAGAGAGCGTTCCAGTTCCGTTTCATCAACTTATACTTTTGATGACGTCATACTTCAGAGGGCCGGGCAGCATCTCCTTGTCCAATCTTCGTCCTCCATTCTCAGAAAGTGCGTTTGGCTCCGCCTTCAAACGTTCGTGATTTGCTGAAGTTCGGCACCCCCGGCCATGCAGTCGCACCCTTTTCACGTGGCGATCGGGTGGAATTCGCCGCCGGCGCTCACGGCGCCTGAGGTGCCAGGTGGCGGGCCTGGCCCTCCGCTCCCCCTTGTTTTGAAGTCAGCTCCGGCCAGATGTCCTATATTTTGTCGTTGGCGACCGAGTTCCATTTCATCCTGTTTTCGTACAAACCGGGTCGGTCCCCGCTCCCCTTTCTTGTTTTGGTTCAAATCAGGGCCGGTCTGCACTCCCCTCTCCTTGTTCTCTGGCGGGGTGCCGAGCGTGGGACAGAGTCTTGTTTTCCAAAGGCTAAACTGATTAATGGCTCGAGGCTGGCAGAATGGCGCGTTTCGGTATGCTATTTGTTGGCTTCAGATCCGGGTTCTCATGAAGTGGGGTGGTCATCTATAGAGGACCCCTGTTTGTCAGAGCCTACTGCGCCGTCTGTGTGGACGGCAGCTGGGACGGAGAGAGGGTATCACAGCCGATTTAGCCGGCTGACCGTGTCTGTGCGGCGCTCGCAGATGGCCGTGTTTCAGCTTGTGGCACAGCTTGCAGTTCAGCATGAAAGATGAAAAAAATGTAACGCATCTGCGTTACATCAGTCAGGCTTTGACCTCGGGTAGGTCAAACTGTGACCTCGGGCCGGCCAGGCTGTGACCTAGGGTCGATCGTTAGGCTGTGACCTCGGGTAGGTCAAACTGTGACCTCGGTCCGGTCAGGCTGTGACCCCGGGCCGTCCATTAAACTGTGACTTCGGGTAGGTCAAACTGTGACCTCACAAAGTGGAGGCTGTGACCCCGGGCCGTCCATTAAACTGTGACTTCGGGTAGGTCAAACTGTGACCTCGGGCCGGTCAGGCTGTGACCCCGGGCCGTCCATTTAACTGTGACCTCGGGTAGGTCAAACTGTGACCTCACAAACTGGAGGCTGTGACTGACCCCGGGCCGTCCATTAAACTGTGACCTCGGGTAGGTCAAACTGTGACCTCGGGCAGGTCAAACTGTGACCTCGAGCCGGCCAGGCTGTGACCTAGGGTCGATCGTCGGACTGCGCTGACGGGCCAGTCACGGACTGATTCGCCGCTGACCACGCAATGACAGCGACTGACGGCGGCGGACCGGCCGTCCCGGAGGGCCCGTCGCCCTGCTCCTGGACCTCCTCCACCGATTGGTTTCTCCCCCTCCTGCCGGACAGCGAGATGACGTACACGGGCCGCCGGTCGTCCTCCCCGTCCTGGCGCTCTTGGCGCTCCTCGGGCGGCTCCGGGTCCGCGCCCGGCTGCTGCGGCATGACGCGGCCGCCGGCGCGCAGCCAGCGGCCGCCGCAACAGCCCAGCGCCTCTCTGTAGGCGGCGCGCATCTTGCCGTTCTGCAGGCCGTACACCCAGCCCTCGACCACGCCCAGACTGAGGCGCAGCTGGTGCACCAGCCCGTTGAGCTGCGGCGCCGGGTACCAGGGCGACGAGAGGCGCAGCACCGACCCCACCACGTCCACCGTCAGCACCAGCAGCATCAGGCGCAGCACGCGCTTGAACGCGCTGAAGTTGGCCAGGAAGAACGACTCCTCGGGCTGGGGGCGGTCGCGGCGCGATGGCGCGCGCGCTGCCTCCATGCGCTGCTTCTCGCGCCAGCCCACGTAGCCGGCGTAGATGAAAATGGAGCACGTGCAGACGGAGGAGAGGAACACCTCCAGCTCGCTGACCATCATGAACGCGCCGGGCAGCACGCGCTCCCAGAGGCAGCCGGTGAACGGCGAGGTGGCGTTGGTGAGTCGCTCCACGCGCTGCGCGGACGTCTCCAGGCCGGCCAGACTGCCGGCCAGCCCGGCGGCCGTGTGCAGCGCCGCCCAGGCCCAGCTGAACAACGCGAAGGGCGCGGCGATCGGCTCGATGCGCGGGTAGTAGTGCAGAGGCCGGCTGATGGCCAGGTACTGGTCCAGCGCCAGCGGGTAGTAGTGCAGAGGCCGGCTGATGGCCAGGTACTGGTCCAGCGCCAGCGGGTAGTAGTGCAGAGGCCGGCTGATGGCCAGGTACTGGTCCAGCGCCAGCGGGTAGTAGTGCAGAGGCCGGCTGATGGCCAGGTACTGGTCCAGCGCCAGCGGGTAGTAGTGCAGAGGCCGGCTGATGGCCAGGTACTGGTCCAGCGCCAGCGGGTAGTAGTGCAGAGGCCGGCTGATGGCCAGGTACTGGTCCAGCGCCAGCGGGTAGTAGTGCAGAGGCCGGCTGATGGCCAGGTACTGGTCCAGCGCCAGCGGGTAGTAGTGCAGAGGCCGGCTGATGGCCAGGTACTGGTCCAGCGCCAGCGGGTAGTAGTGCAGAGGCCGGCTGATGGCCAGGTACTGGTCCAGCGCCAGCGCCACGTGCGTCAGCTTCACGGAGACGGCGCCGCCGGCGCTGCTGGCCATGATGACCGCGCAGGGCACCGCCGGCGGCGGCTGCCACACCAGGTCCAGCAGGCCGATCGAGCTCAGCGACAGGCCGAAGGCGAAGTTGAGCGCGCACAGGTTGGCCACCAGCAGCACCATGGGCTCGTCCCAGAGGGAGCGGCGCAGCAGCACGATCAGCAGCGGGATCGAGTAGTCCACCATCAGGATGGCGCCGACGGCGATCTTCACCAGCACATAGACCATGGTGAACCGCAGCGGACGCGAGGTGCGAGAGGATGACGGCGTGTGGGACGAACCAAGTCGGTAACGGGACCTGGTTAATGCCGCTGAACCGAATCGCGAGCTGGGTCTAGAGACGCCGAGCCGTGGCATGCAGGGCGAGGCACCAGCAAGGAGTGCAGCGCAGACGAGAGACGGTCCGCATCCACCCCAGAGATTACCGGTGCCAGAAGCCCATCACAAACTGAGCTCTTCAAGACATCACCGATATAAGATCCGGCTTAGGGAACAAATGTAGAACAGCGATGCCTTAGGGCGGGATGACACCGGTCTCTGATATGTGATTGCTTGGTGAGGGACAGGAAGCAGGCTTACGTGCTCTCCAAACAAATCACAATATGGAAAACTGAATCCTAAGCCAGCCTTATGGGAAGTCCCAGCTCTTACTGTGCGTCGGATACTAAATGTTGCTACCGTAATCATAACTGAGACAAAACCTGGATGTATTCAGTGTCTCTGCAACGATTGTTCCACTAAACTATCTGCAACCAGACGATGTTTGCGTGGCATAGGTATGTGATAACGATATATGATAGCGCCCGAAAATTCAGCAAATGGGCTTTTCAATTCATACCCAACACCGTAAGATGTCTTCCAAGGCAGTTTGCAGAGGAAAAGGCTGAGACTGCCTGTCAGGCCGCCTGTGGCAAACTGGCATAGCCACAGTCCACAGACGCACATTCTGAGCTACTTTCTGAAAATGGCCCGCTAAGAGCCGATACGTGTTTTGATCAAGTAATGTAAGCTGTAGCCGACAGCTACGATAAATCCCTGTTCATACCGGTACGCATCAGACAGCAATCCACTAGAGGCAGCTCGGCAGAGTATGAGGATGGGGCGGCGAGGTTATGTGGCCGTGACTATCTATTTGTCAAGTAATGCGGGGAGAACGCAGTGAAATCTGCTCGTTACACTTGAATGACTGACCTAAGCTACATCCAGGGTCTGCAATAATCAATAAGTGGGAATGGATCATAAACTCATCGTCCTGGTGCGAGTGCTAAAAGCTATCTAAAGAATACAATCCGTATTCTGTAGTTAAATGCATTTATAAACACAGACCGTCGTAGAAAATCTGTTCTACATTCAATGGCATCAAGTATCAACCCACCACTGAGGAAGGAAGTAGAAAAATATAATGAATGCCTACATCATAGCATGTACTCGGGTCTCGGAACATAGGCGCGGGAGCCGGGGGGGCAGTGGGGGCAGCTTGCCCCCCCAACTCTGGGGCCGTGGGGGCGGTGCCCCCACAGCTTTGAGACGGAATACCACACTTTTTTTGCAAATGTTTTCTTTTTTTGTTGAAAAAGCCGAGGGGTGAAAAATAAGTGGCCTAAAACCGGTGAGAAAACTAGATTTGGGGGTACCCTAGGTTAATCTCTATTATGATGTGCCCCCCCAGTCGGAAAGTAGTTCCCGCGCCCCTGTCTCGGAACTTCAAATACATCGATATACTTAAGTTCAAAAATGTATTTTCATCAATGTAATCCTGGCTAGAGTATAACCAACGCTGTATAACCGTAAACAACTCAACCACTCTCAAACCAATGTGCACTGTGCAGCTGCTAACACTGCAGTAGGTATGCACTGTGCATACCAAGCGCCACGCATTTGGACAAAGGCATTGCTTTACAAAGCTCGAATGAGCAACACAAATCAAAATTGTTCGAAGTAAGTAGGCACCGGGTTAATCCGGTGGTGGCACACGCAGCTCGCAGCGATGGTGGCAATCGAGAACTACCAATGTCTTCATAGGATCACAATGGATAGCAACGACACAAAAATGAGCAACAACGCGTGTTCCTGAGTTCACTCCGGCGTACAAATCCATAACCATGCCACGCCCTACCGAATTGACCTGGGAACAAAATTACGAAAAACGCCACGTAACACGCATTGATGTAGATGTAGATGTAGATCGGGGTATAGCCTTTGTAACGGCATTGAGCAGACGCCGGGTTACTGAACTACGTCACGTGACCTCCGGGGCGGGGTCAAATGGTTTGTTGAGATGCAACGATATCACGCCGAACGCGTCGCATACGAAAGCACCCGCCACCCTTATGTTACAGTGAAGGCTCGCAAAATGCAGCCAAAGCAAGCGTCCTATTTGCAATACGAGCCATGCAAGAACCGCACCTGGCCTGCAAACCGCAAAAACACGGACAAACTTTTTTGTACGTAAACTATTCACTCAGCTGGCACAACTGTAAGACTCCGTAATTTGTACTTTAGCGACATCGCACAGTATCCCAGGTGAGTAAAATGCCCAGAATTTCTGCTGTATTGACCTAGCAAGGACTGATCAGAAATACAGCATCGATACTGCAAAAACGATAACCAGAAAATGAATTCCTGGTGACTAGCTGCTTCCTTCCTAAAAAAAAAAACGAAAAAAAAGAGAGACAGTTGTCTCCTAAATGTTCAGGGGCCAGAGAGCTGCCGCAAATGCTCTAGCAGCTTTTGATTCATTCAACACTGTCACGTTTGGGTGAGCTCAATCCGCCTCAGATCACATCGTAGCCTTGCCGTCCAGTCCGCCTCAGTCCACATCCCAGCCCCCCTGCAGTCCCCCTGCCGCCTCAGTCCACATCCCAGTCCCCCTGCCGTCCAGTCCGCCTCAGTCCACATCCCAGTCCCCCTGCCGTCCAGTCCGCCTCAGTCCACATCCCAGTCCCCCTGCCGTCCCGTCCGCCTCAGTCCACATCCCATCCCTCCCAATCAGTCAGTCAGTCCACCCACCGGACCGGTCCTCCCCAGAAGCAGCCACCTGCCTGCGCCAGTCCGCGGTCGCCGGTTTCGTTCCCCCGCAGTCGCCACACGCGGCCGGCGCAGGGGCCAGCAGACGGCGCAGACAGGCGGTGGCAGACTCCAGCGCCGCCTGGCGGCCGCTCACTAGCGCCATCTCTTGTGCGGCCACCAGCTGGCGGAGCTGCGGCAGGCTGAGCGGCGCGGTCTGCGGCTCCCCGGCCGGCCCGGCCCGGCGCAGGAACGCCGTCAGCTGCGACCGCACCAGGAACACCTCCCGCTGCCAGCGACAGGGTGGGAGCGGCGGAAAATCAGGCACACACGAAGAGTGCTGCTACGATAATCATACCTGGCTTCACTTGTGAAACAGCAACCGTCAATAACGTGAGGAATAAAAACCATGATTGTTGGAGGTCAATTAACAAACCACGTCCAAAGACACGACCTAAAACATTGCATCCTTAAGTTTGTGGCAAGAAAGAAAGACAATTTAACTGGATAATTTGCTGTTATTTCTAAATTTCAATGACAAGTAACATCTCGTTTAACGAGAAAGTGGAAAATCCAATTCGCTGTGCCTCACGGTTCATGAACATGTGAAAACATGCACGGCAGTGAAGTTTCCAGCACAAAATAAGCGAAAGAGTCGCCCTGTCGGCTTCGTCGGGCCCCTTGGGGCGCGAGTGTGCCGAGGCGTGAGCACACCATGACGTGACATACCGCCCAGCTCAGCGCTGACGTCATCAGGAATCGTGCCAAATAATCAGACTATCGTATAGACGGTACACAAAGTACACAGTCATCCCGAGCTTCCTTGGCCGAAAAGCTCACAGTAGACTATTTCACCAGTGGATGGGTTGCATGCAGGCCGCTGAGCGCCCGCAGTCAAATGTCTGTGTCTCAAAATGTGTGGATTTGTGTGAGAAACGACATCCAAATGAATATAATTTGTCAGACTCACTTTCAATTAATGGGAATTAACCCACGCCCTGCTTGGGGGGGGGGCGTTTTTACGCCGCCCCCCCCCCCAGGTCTTTCGCGAATATCTCACAAACGGCGGCGCTTTGTGCCGCCGTTTTCGGTACACCTGTTCCTACGTCTTTTCCGCAAATTTAGTGATAATTTCAGACCTCGGTCATTCAAGGTCAGGTCACCAGGTCACGTCAAGAAACCTTACCTCAGAAAAAGTAAAGTTCGCTGTAGCTACACCGACTGAGCGATCACTTTGAATCTTTCAGTGATTGCTTAGGGTATGCATAAAATGCAAATCTCGGATTTTTTTGCATCTGTAACCTAAGGTCAGCTCAATTTTGCGACTTCTCCATTATAAGTCAATGGGAGAAAATTAAAATGCGCCTCTTTTGGAGGAATGGCTTTCTTAACACTCTCAAACATCGGTTCATAGGTAAACATAACACAATGAATCGGAAAATTGCAACAGAACCTGTGTGCCCCTGAGGTCATGAAAGATTTTCAGCAGCTGTTTTACTATAACTTTTGACAGAAAGGTGCTAGAGCGGTGAAAACACGTCAGATGTGCTCAGCTCGACGATACGGATCGACTGATATGCAGCATCACCCTTTCCGGTCAGGTCATAACCCTAACCTGAGGTCATTTTTTTTTCAAAATGACCTTTGCAGGTTAAATTACAGTTCATTCGACGCGTCTTGACGAGAGGAACACGATGCTGGCAAAAGTGATGTCGTGGCTCACCTGAGTCAAGCTATTACCGAAAACATTTATCATGAAAAGTGCCTATTTTTAGGGTTTTTGCCCTCTGGAGGCTAAACCGTTGGTCTGAGGTCAAATCTGAGGACACGTTAGCGAAAGAGGTTAAAAGAGCCATCGAATGTGCTTTGTGCTTTTCCGCGGCGCTGTAGGTCTATTGGTTGCAGAGTTACCCCTCGGGTGTTTAAGAATTGTTGAAATCATATATGGTTGATGGTTGTGATGAGCATTGTTAGTATTATAGTTTTAGTGATGATGAAATAGCCTTTGCTCATACTTAATCAAAAATGACGAAAAACAAAATATATATAAAGAGACTGATATTTCGCCTTGTGGCTTTTCAGAGTGAACATTTAAAACATTCATATTTGAAGCAGAGATGGCGAACGAGCGGATAACATTCTTTGCACCACCGATCACAAGTTGTTGCTACAATAAATAACAATAATCCAATTTTAACACTTTACCCTAAGTACTAATCCTAAATAGGTACATCTAAGTATTATACATCTAAGTATTCTTTCGAGTGCCGCTTACCGCGTGCCGCTACGTGGTCCACTGTCCAGGAGCCGAGTTAGACGGGGGGGGGGGGAGGCGTCACTCGGCGGAAAGTTCAGGTCAACAGCACGGCGCGCGTTAAGACAAAAATTTCCAATCCCAATTCCACCAACCCAATCCCAATTCTACCAGCCAAATCCCAATTCCACCAATAATTTGCGTTAGTGGTCGTTAAGCATCCTACATCTGCCAAAATTGTACACAAGTTCATACTTTTGATCTTTTCCTCTCTTTTTGGGCCTTGCCTCATCGACAATTATCACTCTTATCCTTTTGGTGAGTAACTTTCCCCTCTGACACCCAGGCAAAAATACAATGTGGGACACTGGCTGCTGCGATATTGATTGTCTAGCGGGGCGTACATCGGCACACAAGTGGCGTGCGACGCACTGAACAAGCTCTCCGGTTAAGTGATTGGGTGCAGCTGGTAACCTTGGTAACACAGAAACATAGCAGCGGATAAGTCAGACTGACGCAGGATTCTGTACCAAAATAGTTATCTAGCCGTCGCATCAAAAACCCGGAGCCGGCCGGAGCCAGGATCACAGTAAGGGTCAATAAAACATTGACTCGGCAGTGAGCTGAGCCATCAGCAGCTTACAGCTTACAGAGCTCGCACAGCCGCAGGATGCATGATAGCTCACACAGCTATCACAACTCATGAAGCTCACGGACACAGCTCAGGACAGGACACATGGCTCATAGGACACAAAGCTCATAGTTCATACATCCAGAAGGGGGAAAACGGTCTCACCTACCGGTAGGGACTGGTCTAACCTACCGGTATGGACTGGCCTAACCTACCGGTAGGGACTGGCCTAACCTACCGGTAGGGACTGGTCTAACCTACCGGCGGGGACTGGTCTAACCTACCGGCGGGGACTGGTCTAACCTACCGGCGGGGACAGGCAGTGGACGACCACCACGAACAGGGTGTGCGAGCTCAGCCGGAGGTCCCTGGCCGACTGGCCGCTCTCCAGGACGGGAACAAACTGCAGCCGGACGCAGTCGGACGGCACTGCCGGCTCCAGCAGGTGACTCACCACCTTGTCCACGCCTGTGCAGAGAGACACGCCAGTCAGGTACAGAGTGTAAGGACCACTCCCCGACATACCAAACGGCACCAGCCTCAAAGTCAGTCCCAGCGCCGGCCACCATACTTCCACCAAGTCTGCGTATTCCTCCCCCTCCCCCCCCCCCCGCCACAAAATATACACACCGAAATTAGAGGTCGGCCCCCCACTTACCATCCTGAGCTGATCCCAGTGGCTGCGTCCCCCCTCTATCCCCCCCCCCCCGCCGCCACACAAAGAGCCCCACTCACCGAGTCTCAGCCGGTCCCGGTGGCTGCCTCCCCCTCCCATCCCCCACTCACCGAGTCTGAGCCGGTCCCGGTGGCTGCGTCCCCTCCGCCCCCCCCCCCCCCCACACTCACCGAGTCTCAGCCGGTCCCGGTGGCCGCCGTCCAGCTGCAGCCCGTTCACCCGGCCGTCGGCGCTCACACCGTAGTAGATGGCGCCACCGGCGCCCGCGTTCAGCAGACCGCACAGAAGCTGGCCAGAGGCAGGACGAGGCGTTCAGTTATTGCACATCGACTACATAGCATGTAATTCAAAGCGCTGACCAACATCCGTTAAACACCCACACACACAAAGAAGCTATACCCGCCCCATCACTCTCTAAACCACATGAGCGTACTGTTCACACACTAGTAGTGCGTCTGTTGGCCGCCGGGCGGCGCTGGCGACTCACCATGGCCAGCCGCTGTTGCCCCATGTCCTGTACACGCCTCACGTCCTCCAGCTGCAGGCAGAGGCTGGTGCGCAGGCGACAGCGCTGGCCGCGCCGCAGGTACTCGATGACCGAGGCCGGCGGCCGAGCGGGCGCCGCTGCGAGGGCAGAGAGGGGGTAAGCTGCCTGTTAGGAGCCCCCATCAATGGAAAAGGGACATAAAAGACAACAATGACATCACATTTCTGTTTGCTGACTAACAACAAACCTAAGCACTGCACTGTAACAGGATGCCTACCAGCCAGATGGACATTGAATAGCAGTCACACCAAACGGTATAAAAAGTGCACGCCTGCGGCCCACTGACCGTCAGTTTCGGGCGGCGGCCGCCCGTCGGCGCCACCGTCGGCGCGCAGTTCCTCCTCGTTGAGACGTACCAGCCGGCCGGGCGCCACGGGCGGCGCCGGATCGGGCGGAGTGGGCAGCAGCGGTGGCGGTCTCCTCACCACTGCCGCCGCCGCCGCCGCACTGGCTCCCGGCAGTCGGGGCCGGGCGGGCGCCGCCGCGGCCCCGGCCGACCTCGCGGTATCAGCCGCCGAGGTCTGTGTACCGGGGGTGGAGGACTGGGCGCGGCGCGGCGGACCGGCCGGCCGCACCCGGCGGGACAGACCGGCCGACCCCGGCGCGGCCGGCAGCTGCCGGCACAACGGCGAGTCATATCACACAGTAAATACGGTCTTGGAGACGGAGGGGCATCACATGACCGTCACTGAATCAAAGATTTCGCGAGCCATTGGCCCCATGTTTTCATCAAAATATTTTCCCTAGCTGACACAACTGACACAACCAGTCATTCCCACGAGCAGATCCATCAAGCGTATCTTTTCAGCCCAGCCCTGCACCAGCCCCGAGCTTATCACAAGCCCAGTCGCTGGCCGTCGTTCTGGTGGCACCTGTCTCGGCGTGGAGGCGGCCGCCGGGCCGGTCGGCCCCTCCGCCGGCGTATCGTTCTCCTGCAGCCGACTGACCAGACGGCGCACCTCCAGCTCCAGACGGGGACCCTTCGCCAGCCGCAGCAGCCCTGTAAAACACGGTCAGGGACCAGTCAGCCGACTGACCAGACGGCGCACCTCCAGCTCAAGACGGGGGCCCTTCGCCAGCCGCAGCAGCCCTGTAAAACACGGTCAGGGACCAGTCAGCCGACTGACCAGACGGCGCACCTCCAGCTCAAGACGGGGGCCCTTCGCCAGCCGCAGCAGCCCTGTAAAACACAGTCAGGGACCAGGGTACAGTCAGCCGACGGTTCAGACGAGACTAGCAGCCCTTCACAACACAGACAGGGGAATAGCCAGTCAGCGGTAATTCTGTAATAAAGACTTACTAGACTACCTCATTTAGTAATGTTAGTTGTGCCCATCTGTTATCTCCATATTCTCCTATCTGTTAGCAAATGAGCTGCGCGACCGGGACATTATCACTGACCGTGCAGCAGTGGGGAGCCGGCCAGCAGGCTGCGGCCCGGGTCGCTCAGGGTTAATTTACTGGCAGGTTTCACTGACCGTGCAGCAGCGGGGAGCCGGCCAGCAGGCTGCGGCCCGGGTCGCTCATCCCGGCGCCGACGGCGGCCCGCAGCAGCCGCACCAGTCGGCAGAGCTGCGCCTCGTCCGGCTCCGGCGGGTCCAGCTGGTCGCCGGCCAGGTCTGCGGCGGTGCAGAGACGGGCAGGGTGACAGGACGGACACACTGACACGACTACAACAGAGCCACACAGTCACAGACACACACACACAGCGCAGAGACGGTCAGAATCACAGTCACAGGGACAGACACACAGGCACATCACGGGGATACGACAGCGTGCTCGCACGCAGCAACACACGTCGCGCTTACCTGGTCATAACCAGTTCCACAGCTCCCCCTGTTGATCCAACCGCCCTCTCCTATGATCGCACCGACTTACCAGCGGCGCGGCCGCCCGCAGCTCTCCTCTCCTGTCACCGTGCTAGCGGCGCAGCCACAGTCGGTCCCATAGCCTTGCCCTGCCCCCGACCGAGTGCCCCGCCCCGCCCCGTCCCATTCCCACCTGCCAGCGGCGCGACCACCTCCGCGGCGCGCAGCGGCGGCGCCGTGGCCGGGTGGCGCGCCATCCTGGTGAGCAGCTCCAGCGCCTCCGGTGAGCCAACCTCGGCGGCCAGCACGGCCAGCCCCGAGTGGGCCAGGCGGCGCGCCGGCTCCGGAGCCGTCAGCCACGGCAGGCTGCCGGCCAGCAGCGACAGACAGGCGGCCACCAGACGCGCTGGCACGACCAGAGGCAGGCCTGCCGACCGACCGGCGGCCACACGGGACGGTCACAGGGGGACAGGGCAGGACACAGACCGGCGGCAGCCGCCACAGCAGTCCACTGGTCCGACGGTGATCACTATCACAGCGCACCAGACTGGCATAATTCAATCCCACGACGATCTCAGCCAGCAGAAATACTGATAGTAGTAACAAAAACACTAAACAGCCTCTTCACACTGTCGTTTCTGAAAACTGAGGGCGTTACTTACCACAGACAAAAGATTAAGAAAAAAAAAACAGTCTTGTTATATGCTTCAGCAGCCGATGATTCACTTGCAGAGTAATTTCCTTTCAATGCCATCTCCCAACGTACCTGAGTAACTTAAAAACATCCTATCACCCGTCCCATCCCAGCTCCCTAGCGACATCTCCCATCCCCTGTTCCAGTTTCCTGCCCACCCGTCCCCTTCCGCCGTCGCAGCCGGGTGTGGCCGCGGCTCGCCGGAGCCGGTCTGCCGTGACTGACGTTTGCCGGTGAGGAGGACCAGCAGCGGCGGCTGCCGGTACAGCTGCAGGCCGTCACTGCAGGCCGACAGCAGTGTGCAGCGCGGCACGAGCAGCGCGCGCGCCGCGTCACACAGCCACACCAGCACCGGCTCGGCGGCGCGCCGCTGCAGGCTCAGACAGCGAACAAAGCGCGGCAGCTCGGGCAGCACGCAGTTCTGACGGCAGCAGCCGCGCAGAGCGGGTGTCAGCGGTGGGGGGGGAGGGGCAGCTGGGTCTTAGCGGTGTTCGTGCAGTGAGCAGGCCACAAGCAATTACCAGAGGCAGTTCAGTGTTCATTGTTCAGTTCAATGTTCTTGACGTAGCACTCATGGCCCATGGGAAACCAAACGGTCAGAAATAAAAAATTGAAATAAGCACACCAACTTTAAAAGCAACGGCATGCAGCCCAGGTCCCAATTGCACTCGCAAAACTTGAAATCCCAAATCGTATCCCGCCTCGGCAGCCCGTCGGTACTCACATGGTGGATAACCAGCTGTCCGTAGAGCAGTGTCTCGGGCCGTTTGTCGGCGGCGGCGGCGGTGGCGGCCTCTGCGCGCGCGCTGATGGTCCTCAGCTGGTGCTCCCAGTCGGCAGAGGTGGTGCACCAGAGGTCTCCGCCGGCCGCCACGCTCACCGCCCGCACCAGACGCGGCGGCGGCGGCGGCGGCGGCTCGGGGGTGGCACGGGCACGCGGTACCCTGTTCGGCACGCCCCTGGCCCTGCCGGCAGCCAGGCTGGCCGAGCGGCCGCGTCGGCTGAGCAGATCGGCAGGTTGATTCCGCGACCGACTGCGGGAGCGGGCGCGGGAGTTCGCAGCGGGTCCCGACCCAGCAGGACTGCCGCATCCCGACCCGAACGACACTCTCTTGGTTGTTGCTTTTAGTTCAGGAGTTGGGGCGAGGGTGAGGTTGGTGGCTGACCGGGTCGAAAGATTGGCTCTGGATGCCTGTTTACCGCTACTTTTAGGCGTGGTGACGTCACTGGTGCTTTCCGGGCGATTCCCCGGCGAGCTGCGTGTCTCGGGTGACGGGCTAGGTGCACCGAGTTTGTATTTCTCCCGCAGCAGCCGCAGGCCACGACTGAAATTTGCCACTGGTGTGGCCACATCGGATGCGGCGGAAGCCCTGGTGGCGGCGGTCGAGTCGGCACATCTTGGGGACTTTGCCTCATGGCTGCCAGTGGTCTTGGAGGTACTGCCACCCTTCTCGGTGCTGGTCGAGCCGGCCGCCGGCGCCGGCCGCACGGCCAGCACCTGGTGCCACTCCAGCACCGGCTCGGTGGTGTAGGCGGTGTGCGCGCGCCTCTCCGGCCGCGGCACCAGCCGCACGCGCTCGCCGCTCACGTCCACATTGACGGGCCACTCGCGGCCGGGCCGGGCAGCCACCCGGGCCGTGCCGTGGCAGGCCAGGTGCAGCCGCAGCAGGTCGGCGGCCGGCGCCAGCAGGTCGGCGGCGCTCGGCTGAGCCAGCGCCGGATCCGTGTCCGTCAGCCGCAGCGCCGCCTTCTCCAGCAGTTCACAGACAGGTGAGGTGCGGGCCTCACAGACAGGTGTGCCGTCATAGTGGGACAGACAGGAGGAGAGAGCAGAGACGCACTCAGCTGTGATATCTGATTCTCCCATGGAGATGGAGGTGGTCTGTGCACTGGCCAAAGGCACTCCTCAACACTCTGACTGGACCATGGAAAAACTGTGGAACCACCTTCAGTGTCCAAGCCCTGAAATGATGCAAACTTTGTTAATATGATAAACATAAAATACTGTCAAGAATGCATTGCTAGGTGGATGCATTGCTCACTGAATTCATTGCTCAGTCAAGAATGCATGCATCTCAATCTAATTATGCATAATTAGATTACAGATGAAAGTGCATTAAAATGCTGCACAAACCGTAAAGTGAAGCAGCATGCTGCCCCGTACTCGGGGGTAGCAGTGCAGTACCGAAGGAAATGCCTTAGCAGATTACAGGCAATGAGATTACAGGCAATGGTAAGTCAAATATTTTTAGGTTAAGTGGTTGTGTATCTCGGCCTGAAGTTGAAGTGTGATGCACAACTAAAAATATTTTACTTACCTTACCATTGCTCTATACGGCCCGGCCTCCCCATTGCTTGCAATCTACTCATGCTGATGCGAGCAACTGTTTCCTTTTCCCCGGCTAGGCAAAATTCTGTATATATCTGGGCCCTGTTTCACCGCCCGACGCAGCGCGCGCTGCAGCGCGCTGGGAGCTGAGGCGTGCCCCTGACGTCACTTGAATGACGTTGCGTGCGATCCGTTAGCTTATAATGAATCGCGTTTGGAACAGAGGTCCTAAAGAATCAAGTACAGAGAGAACAGAGGTTTGAGTGCGAATGCTGCTAGCGTGCTGATGGTGCTGGCGCTTGGGTGCTAGCGTTTTGCGATGACGTCATAGCGTAGCGTCAGAGGGAAGTTTGTTGATATTGCCATGGAAACCCAACGCGCCCACGCGCGCAGCGCACTGCAGCGCTCCGCCGTGAAACAGGGCCCTGAAATTCAGTAATTCAGGGCCCTGTTTCACCGGTGATAGCAGCAAGCTGCTATCACGTTTCGCGAGCTGACGTCATGTCGTGACGCCATACTGTTGTCGTAATGGGTAGTTCCGGCGCACGATTGCCGCGACCTTGGCGGCGGCATTAAGTGACGTATGAGCCTAAAAGTAAGAGTTTACGCAGTCATGATAGTATATATATTTTTGATATATATTTTTTCAATATGATGTATTTAAAAGAAGTTGGGTTTAGGAAAAATTTTGACATTAACTTCGAACATTTAGCTGATGACGTAAAACAATATTGCGGCAATCGTGCGCCAGAATTGCCCCTTACGTCAGCAGTATGACGTCATCACATTACGTCAGCTCGCGCAATTTGATAGTAGCTTGCTGCTATCACCGGTGAAACAGGGCCCAGTAATCACGCCCCACAACCGCAGCGGGTGACTTCGAACGCGCGGGGCTAGTGTTTTTACCGTTTTTACGTTACAATTCTGCCGCACTTCGCACACATGGCGCGTAAACATCCCCCGCGTTCGATGTCTCTCGGACGACGAAGATTCTACGCCGTCCGGCCAATCACGTTCCATAACCGCAACCGAGCCCCCGCTGACCTTGGACAGGATTGGCCGGACGACGTAGAATCTCCGTCGTCCGAGAGACATCGAACGCGGTGAGCGTATGGTCCGTTGGTTACTTGCCAAGTACTTGCCTTCTTGCCGTACTTGCCTTACTTGGGCCGGTTTGGTCGGGTGTAAGAAACTTGGGTCGGGTACCTGCCTATAATACTGCCTATATACCCCATATTTACCCTATATGTTGTTCTATATACACTGGGTACCTGCATGGGTGTAATTTCGTTGTTTGGTTGTTATAATGCAAGGCTAGGTATATAAACCGTACAATTGTGATAAATTGATTGTCCATTTCAGCATTTTAATGATGGTTTCCAGTTCAAGTTCCTTTTTTCACATTATTTAGCATCAGCATGGAGGAGTAGATTCTGATTGTAGAAAATGTGTGTTTTGAATTGATAGGCAATGAGAGAGATAGAGAGAGGGACGAGTGACAGCATGATCAGGGGCTGGTATTTTTTGTAAATTTTCTTCTTCTTTTTTTGCAAGTTAAATGTTTGTGATGATTTTTCCATTTTTCCATGGTTTGGGTAACTTACATACTTACTTATGAAGGACGGAATTTAGATAGGCCAGAGCCAGAGGCCTTTGGAAACCTTTCTAGTCAAGCGCCCCGTGCGTCTGACTTTTCATCTGTGTGAGGGATGTCGTGTGCAAGGTGTGCTGCCTAGTGAGCGTCAAGCCAGTTTTTGAATTAGTTCAGGGTGTCTGAGGCGACGACCGCTGGCGGTAGGCTGTTCCAGTTGTTGATGACGCGGTTACTTTGCGATTTCTGAGCCATATGAGCATATCAATATAATGATGCTAGAATTGCCATAAACGCATGCTAGGATTGTAACCTTTTCACCCTTGATGTCTGGAGAATGAACAGCATGAACAGCACAGGCATTCTGCAGGCATACTGGTTGGCACCTAAAATGAAAATTAGGTTATAGGTATGGCTATTTTACGAAGGTCTTGGTTTTTCTAATGCAGTGCTGAGTCATGAGACACTAGCACACCATTATTATGTGGTGACTGGTGGTGGTTTGGTGCTGATTTACTGTGGTGTAGTGCGGATTTGGTGGGGAGCCAGTGCAGGCTACTAATGAACCAGTTCCATTCAGAATGTCACATGTTCTCTGAGACTGACTGCCATACACTTGGCTTAAATCAACTCATGCAAAATTACATAAGCTGATTTTTGTCAGCTGATTGTTGATGGCTGATTCATTGTTTTAACAGGCATTAGACACTAATATAAAAATAATATTTAGTCTAGACACCAGCATGGATTCTGTCCCCGAGGGTCCTGCAGTTCCCAACTGCTGGAGGTGCTGGAGGACTGGACCAATATGCTTGAACAAGGAGACGCGGTTGACGTGCCATACCTGGATTTTCGTAAGGCGTTAGACTCGGTACCACACATCCGACTTCTGAAAAAGCTTAGGTGCTTTGGGATCTCAGGCAAACTCCTGAAGTGAATTGAGGCCTTCTTACCCAAGCGCAAGCAAGAAGTGGTCGTGGACGGAAGACACTCGAAACCAACTGCCATCAGGAATGGAGTACCTCAACTCTCAAGGCTCGGTCCTGGGGCTTCTCTTGTTCCTGCTGTTTGTTAACGACATAGTACCATCTGTGGTCGACTGCTCAGTAAAGATGTTTGCTGATGATACAATGCTGTACCGGACAATACAGCAAGAAAGTGTCTCCCGCTCAGAAGCCGCTGAGGTTGTGGGGATGGCTGTCGCTCAATCCAGAGCTGGCAGAGGCCACCCCACCCAAGACACCCAGCCGGCGAGGGATGAGCAAAATCGTAACCCCGTCAGTACCCTAGTCCCTACCGGAGGCTGATGCGGAGGGAGAGGTGGCTGTCTCTCGTCACAGAGATGGCAGCTACCACTCTGCCCAAATATCGCATATGCAGCTGGTGCGAGACCCAACGGTAACGACATCACTCTAAAGCGACATCGATGATCTAGTGGCATGGTCCGACCGCTGGCAGCTCCCATTCAACGAGGGGAAATGCAAAATCCTGCACCTGGGACGCAACAACCCTCGGGTCAAATACGCCATCCGAGGAGTTGAGCTGGAGGTGGTCGAAGCCGACCGCGATCTTGATGTCTTCGTGGACTCCTCGCTCAAGTTCCGCAAATAGGCTGCTGCTGCAGCGGCGAAGGCTAACCAGATCCTGGGAATCATAAAACAATCGCTCGAGCTTGTCCACGAGACCATCCTCCCACTGCTGTACAAAACACTTGTGCGCCCACACTTGGAATACGGCAACGTGGCATGGGGCCCATTCAATCGCGCCGACCAACTTCTGATCGAACGTGTCCAACGGAGAGCAACGCGCCTGGTAACTTTTACCGGGGTTACATGAGCAAGTAAATGAGTATCAGGAACGGATTTTCCTATTCGCTCACCATTGTCAGGCGCGGATACAAGGGGGGGGGGGCCATGGCCATTGGCCCCCCCCCCCCTTGGCCGATTTTTTTCAAAAATAAAATAAAAAGTTAAAAAGCTGAAAAGGGGGCCTCCTGAAAATAAAGTGGCTATTCATGTTGAGATGTTGCCTGAACAGCTAGATAAGCTCAATAGACGCAGTTTTTTTTTGGGGGGGGGGGGGCCCAACAAGTGGGAAGATGGGGCCTCCAACAGGTGGGATTATGGGGGCCTCCTGGTTTCTAATGGCCCCTCCCTTGGAGATTTTCTGGATCCGCCCCTGACCATTGTAGTCCTTTTGTAATGCGTATTAACTCTGCTCATGTAACCCCGAGCTTTAACCCTCGCCGGACCTATTGGTTTTCTACATACGCGCCGGCCGAGGGGGGGACGAGTACGACCCCCCTCGCCGTTTCGCCCCTGGTGGAGCTAGCTCGTCAAGAAAAAACGAGCGTGTGCGCCGTTACGAGACGCAGAGATTGGTAGGTACCCGATTTTAAGGTCCTAGGTCAACCGGTGACCTCTGAGGTCAGGTCAAGTGGCCCAAGGTACGGTTCAGTTTTTGGTGAATAACTTGGCAAAAAACGGTCGCAGAGCCGCGATTTTGGCAGCATCGTGTTCGCCTCGCTCAGCCGCGTCGAATGTCATACTTTTTGTTCGGGTCAGGTCAACTTAGGGTGTTGACCTCAGGTCAAGGTCAGGTCAGCACCCCCATGTCACGAATTTGGTCGAAAGAGGTCATGTCGCATATCATTCGATTCGGCAGGTCTTCCTGAGTCCAGTGGTGGCTTTCCCGACTCGCTAGCTCAATTTGATCGGGAGTTATTGACGAAAAACTAATATTACCTTGATGACGTCATAAATGACGTCACGCAAGGTCAACATTGCAAAAGTGACGCATCTTACCTTGCAAGGAGTGCATCAAATCACGATTCTGTGTGCTTGAGATAGTTGGAGATCGTTCCCGGCGCCAGAATAGCAGTTCATTTTTCCCTATTGACTTATAATAGTGAGGTCACGAAAATGACCTGACCTCATATGACATTTAGGAAAAATCCGAGATACACAAGTTGTGAGACTCAAGATGGATACTAGATCCTGCAAGTTTCATTTCCCTGTGACATCTCCTCTGGCAGTGAGGGCGTTGCGAAGTTGCGACATCTGAAGACCGTGCAGAGGTTCACTTATGACGCCATAGGTCAGTGACCTGACCTGACCCAAAAATGCGGTTGGTGTCAAAAGATACGGCTTTGTACAAAGGTCAGGTATGCCAAGTTTCAGGTCTCTATCGCCAGCGTGTTCGGAGCTATCGCGAAAAAACCCTATGGGGGGGGCGGCACCCGCCCCCCCCCCCCCCCCCTCGGCCGGCGAGGGTTAATCAGACACATTCCCTTTGAGGAGCGACTACAATTTTTGAAACTGCCCTCACTGTTCTATCGTCGGCGTCGAGGTGATATGATACAAATGTACCAGCTGTTCCATGGAGGCGTTGACCTGGATCCGGAAGAATTATTTGCTGCTGCCACCGACGCGACGGTCGTACTTGAGGCCAATCGCAGAAGGTCCAGAAGCCCAGAGCCACCACCAGACCAAGGAGAAAATCGATAAGTGCAAGGGCATACAATGACTGAAATGGCTTGCCTCAGACGGTCGTTGATGCTGCCAATATCGAGCAATTCAGATCAAGACTGGATGCCCACTGGGCGAACATCAGGTACCTGATAGGAGCTAGAAAAGTCCAAAAGGTCACGAGCTCGATGAGAACGGTTCCCTACAGGCCAAGTGGCTTCTAAATCCCGATCAAATTAAGGTAAGGTAAGGCATAAAATTTCCTGCAAGCTTGCCTATTTCAGGCACCTTGTTGCTCCACTTCCCAACATATATTTAATGCTGGGCCTTAATTTTCACTGCAATCCTTTCTTTTCCACAGATTCACAGCCAGCTTCAAAATGTCAAATGTGTCACCTGACGGCAAGAATGCAAAGAACGCCATCTGTCGTCACTGTCCCTGCAAAATCCTCCTAGCTGGCGACAGCAACCACAGGGAATTTGAAGAACAGCTCCCTGCCGAAGACGGTAATGAAACATGGACAGTGAAAAGCTGGTGGCAAGTCGATGACATGTATAGTTTCTACAATATCGGCTTCAGCAAGACCGTGGGTAATAAGAAGTACCTCGTGTGTGCTGACTGTGAGCGGGGACCGATCGGTTACCACGACCTCGAGACGAAAAAGAGCTATCTCGCCACTGAAATGGTGGGGTATTCACAATGATAGTCGCCTCTTGTTCTGTGAGATACATGGTGATTTGGGTGTTGTCTGTAATTGAACGCGTCATGCTAAGCTACGCTTGCCTGGTTTTTGTCACTGGGCTGTAGTAATGCAAGAGCTTTTTCCATTGTCATCGCATTGTATTAACTGCCTTGTAAGTGCTTGTGTGGGGTAAACTGTTGCATTGTTCATCATTGTTAAAGCTACACCATCCGAGGCCGGGTTACAAGGTTCGAACTTTTATTCGTCGTTTGTCGGTAGGTTGATTCGACCCCAGTTTATTGTGTAATGCACCTTTTTTGCCCTAAGCTTTATCCATTCCAGATCTTGCTATTTTACGCTGCACGCCACCACCGCTGCAGCTATGAACATTGAACAGACGAGGCCGGGCCGAAGGCCGACCGATCTTCACTTATCACTAGTGCACGCACCAACTACGGGCAATGAATAATTGAGTCGGACTAAGATGTAGCATGTGCGACCGTATCAAAGTACCGAGCCGATGAAAACCGCTTTATCCGTCTGCATTAGGCAATTGATCATAGATATTCGTATAATAAATGGTACATAACAAAGCGTAGGGTTTGCACAGCGACAAAGCCTGTGGTGACACGCAGTGTTACGCTTTGATTTCAGCAGCAGCGGTCCGGGAAGAGCTGGCTTGTCAGCTCTGCTTTCAAGACAGCTGCATCTCCTGAGTCCTGACATCCTAGTTCATGTTCCGATGTTACCAGGCGGAAGTGAGTGATGGTTTCGTAGCATTCCTGCCATTGCTTTCGGGTTCCTTAGCCTTTTGCGATACTAGACTATCACGTCGTTTGTCGTTTGTCTAGGTAATTTGGGGAACAGTCGGGTCGAAATAAACAGACAACTGCCAACAAACGACCTACAATAAAATATAGCAATAGTATTTATTGACAAGCCTCGGAGAAGGCACATTAGGGTTGCCAAATGCATGAAAGTGATCAGCAAACATTCACGGTATCCAGATTTACTGATTACGAGCGAGCGAGCGCAGCGAGCGAAGCGAAGTCTTTTCAATATAACGGGAAAATCTCAGTATGAGCGGCCCGGCCCGGCCCGGCCTGTAACGCTTTTGAGAGGCTTATATCTCAGCAACCGCTGGACCGAATGGCCTGCGGTCTTTTTTGCTGGGTAGCCCCATCCCTTCTACCCCGTAATTGACTACTTTTGATACATCTAAGTGACCGCCGTGGCACGTGCCACGTGAAAAGTCAAGGGTGTTCAAGCAGTTTTGCAAAAGTAATGATTTTGAGAGGCCCATATCTCAGCAGCGGCTCGAGCGATTGTCTTGCGGTCATTTTTATAGGGTAGCTGCATCCCTTCTACCAAAGGTCGGATACTCTTCATCTATGTGAGTGACCCCCACTGCACGTGCAAAATACAACAATAAGAGGTGTCAAATTTGTTCCCATTTCAGTAACTCGGTAATTACTGGGGCGATTTCGCTGAAACTTGGCATACAGGTAGGCACCCACCAGGCAATGCATTCCCATGTGTTGCGGTTAGGGTGCTACTGCACGTGCGCACGTGCAGGGGGCGTTTCCAGATCTCGAGAACGGCTGGGCCGATTGCGCTCAAATTTGGTACACGGTTGGGGACCGGTTAGCAGGGTGCCGTGCAAAAGTAATTTTGGACCCCGTTTGCACGTGCGCACGTGCAGAATGCCGCTTCCAGATCTCAGGAACGGCTGGGCCGATTGCGTTCAAATTTGGTACACCGCTAGCGACCGGTTAGAAGGGTGCTTTTCACAAGCCTGTTGGAAGTAACCTCTCGCCATTCTGCACGTGCAAGGCTCACTATCTCGCTCGCTCGTTCTTCGCCCAAAAGGCGTTTTACTGGTAAATATACCCTAATAGTTGGCTTAATCAGCGCATCAAACGTAATGACAACCGTAAACATAAAGCATCACGTCACAACAAGGATATGTAATATCCAGTGCAATCGGGAACACTGACACGGCCAGCTCCGCCTATTGAACTTCAACTGACTGACGAGTCTCCAGATTCGCTGCATCTCCGCTGTTCCCAAACTGCCGATAAGCACCACGGACGCCGCTGCGACTCTCCGTCGCTCTCACTCACCACGCTGTGCTCCTCTCCTCTGCCACAAGACCGCTATCGTCACTGCCGCTCTGTGTCTTCGGTCCGCACAGTTTCCCGATCCGGCTCCTCCGCCCCCGCCGTTCTGGCCCACCGAGCCAGCCTGGTCTCGAACCTCCTCTGGTCCATGGCCAGCACGGCCAGCGACGGCTTGGGCCTGCCCAGCCGGCGGCACAGCTCGAGCCGGTGCCGCAGCCGCTCGGGCCGGCCGCGGTACACGGTCAGCAGGGCGGCCAGCCGCTCGGCGGGCCCGTAGCCGGCGCGCTCCAGCAGGCCGGTGACCGTCTCCAGACGGCCGGCGCGCAGCGTCCGCAGCACGTCCGAGCAGCGCGTCTGTTCCACCACCCGGTCCCGCGAGACGCCCAGACGCAGCGCCACCGTCAGCGCTACGTCCTCCGTCTCCTCGCAGAGCGGGCCGCCGCGAGCCACGCGCCTGGGGAGGGGAGGGGCGGGTCAGAGGGCGCCTGGGGAGGGGACGGCGGGGTCAGAGGGCGCCTGGGGAGGGACGGGAGGGCGGGATCAGAGGCCGCCGCGATCCACGCGCCTGGGGAGGAGGGAGGGCGGGTCAGAGGGCGCCTGGGGAGGGGACGGCGGGGTCAGAGGGCGCCTGGGGATGGAGGGCGGGGTCAGAGGGCGCCTGGGGAGGGGACGGCGGGGTCAGAGGGCGCCTGGGGAGGGAGGGCGGGGTCAGAGGGCCGCCGCGAGCCACGCGCCTGGGGAGGGAGGAGGGGCGGGGTCAGAGGGCCGTGCAGGTTAGGTATCAGATGGGATGGAGGAGGACACGGCAGGTATGTTAGGTCAAAGAATTACGGACAGTTCTATCCTCATGTGATCCGCGGATGATATGCAGATCGAATAGACGAGAGCAGCCTGCGAGCAGAGGGCCCTGTTTCACCGGTGATATCAGCACGCTGCTATTACAGTGTGTCAAATTGGGTTTCCATGGAGACGTCAACAAGCCTATTCCTCAACACTACCAGAAGTGTGACGTCAGCTTGCGAAATGGAATAGCAGCGTGCTGCTATCACCGGTGAAACAGGGCCTCAGGTATGCCAGCTGTTACTTTCTAAGGAAACGACTGCGAGTGAGATCAAGATGACAACGAATGAAACTGTCAACTCAAAAGAATCGTCTGATAAGCTGTGGAGTGAACACGTTGCGACCGTTGGACACCTGGCGGCAAGGCACTGAACTGATAGTATCATATCCGAAATAGATGTCAGCAGTCACTTGCGTTCGTCACGCATGCATGGAGGGCGATGCAGGAAAAACGTGACCCCACAAAAAGACCGCCGGGCCTCGTGAGCGATACAACAATAACTTACCAGCGATGGTGGTATAGTGGTGAGCATAGCTGCCTTCCAAGCAGTTGACCCGGGTTCGATTCCCGGCCATCGCACTACCGTTTTGCACTCAATCATAGAGAGCTTGCTTTAACCACATAACTTCGAGGCGTTTCAATACGTTCAGCTCAATGGACGGTGGATCAAGATTAAACCAGATTCATTTTCAGCTAATTTTGACCACAGACATGAGCAACGAGCATGAACAACTGAACTGGATGAATAAATGATAAAAGGGTAGGACAGTGCCGACTGCCTACTGGCACTATCCGACGACCGCTGGGGCGCCCGGCCATGACTGACCTCTGGAAGTTGTCGTCGGTCATGGCTAGATAGTGCGCTCGCAGCGGGACTCCGTGCTTCCTGCACTGCTGCGCGCGCCGCCTCAGGCGCGCCCCGGTCAGCCGCAGCAGGTAGAGCGAGCGGCCCAGCTCAGACACCGGCACCCCCAGCTCTGTGGGTACCGAGAGAGTCAGAGGGCGACACCGGCACCCCAGCTCAGTGGGTACCGAGAGAGAGAGTCAGAGGGCGACACCGGCACCCCAGCTCAGTGGGTACCGAGAGAGAGAGAGTCAGAGGGCGACACCGGCACCCCAGCTCAGTGGGTACCGAGAGAGAGAGAGTCAGAGGGCGACACCGGCACCCCAGCTCAGTGGGTACCGAGAGAGAGAGTCAGACTACTGTTAACGCCAGACCCCTTGAGACCCTAATTTTTCGCGATTATTTTTTAATGCGTGGAAGAATTTCAACCATATTTAGGAAATAGCTGTTTCAAGACCTGCCGAAACTTTTTCTTCAAATACGTTTTGTTGTCACTTAAATATTTGTGGCACTTGTCATTGACCCGTAATGTTAACTGTTTTTCCATCCTGGATAGAGGCTTTCATACGTCATATGACATTAGGCTCCGCCCACGACTGCGGCATTGACCCGTGCCCATCAGCGACCTCTGTACAAACGACACCCCTGCCATCTGTAAAGGACTATGAATTTCGCTGACGCTTCACGTGCTATGATCAATTGCAGCAGACGGTCAAGTAAATGTTAGGCTCTTGTTGACTCTCGTATATAGGACCAAGAGGACCATCACTCCTCAACCTACTACTCACACATGCTTCGAACAAACGTTAAAGATTCCTAACAAATACGATTTTCGATGTAGGATATAGGTATGTTTGAAATACGAGCGAGCCTTATGATGTGAAGCGAAGGCAATTAATCAATTATTGCGTTGTTCGATGGTTGCATAGCGATGTACAAATCAGCAACTACTTGATGACATCCGACATCCCATTATCACATTATCTGCCATAGGCTTTAAATACAGGTGAATATTTCCTAACCTTATGTCAGGTATATGCCATCTGCCCGTCATTTGCAGCTTATGAAAAATAAAACAAATATCAGCCGTCAGCGAACCTATCAACATTGTACAAGCAATGCGCATTGAGCATTTATGGCTCCATCATGTCGCTCTTTGGGCACTGTCAGACAAGACGTTACGCACAACTCCGCCGGCTTTCGGCACCGTTCGACCGTCCCCGCTCCCCGCCACAGCGCGAGTGACCGCGCGCCGGTCCGAAACCGCCGCAGGCCAAGACCACAGAGGCGGGGCTTAGGTGTGACGTCATAATGTATCACAGACTGACTGGTGATAGCCTCTACACACCGGGTGAAAATCTTGCTCGAAATTTAACATTACGAGTCAATGAGAAGTGCCTGAAATATTGAAATGGCGACAAAATATCTAAATTGTAAAAGTTTCGGCAGGTCTTGAAACGGCCATGTCCTGAGTTTGGTTGAAGTTCTTCCACACATTAAAAAATAATCGCGAAAAATTAGGGTCTCAAGGGGTCTGGCGTAGGTGAGCGGGACCGGTGGAACAGGGACAGGTCGGACGGAGGGCACCTGCAGCTGCATGTAACTCACATTCAGTCCTGTCCGCAGTCCTGTGTGACAATGGGCAGTCCTGCCCGACAGTGAGGCGAGGCAGTTCTATCTGGACAGTCAGACAGTCCTGTTTGGGCAGGAGGAACAGTCCTGTTTGGGCAGGAGGAACAGTCCTATTCGACAGTGGGAACAGTCCTATTCGACAGTGGGAACAGTCCTGTCAGCAGTAGGGCTAATTCTGTCTGACAGCAAGGCTCACCTGTCAGCAGTCTGGCGCTGGACAGCAGCTTCTCGGGGCTGTTCTTGATGACCTGGCTGGCCATCCTGCTGACCGCTCTGCTGACTGTCAGCTCCGGCAGCTGAAAATGGCCGCAACACCAGCGGTCAGCACTCCAGACCGAAACAGACACAAGCCAATGTGAAATGGTGCAGGATATGTGAGGAGGGGAGGAGCATCGCATCCATCGCACGAAACAAGACAGATACGGTCGGTTTCGCCCTGAACGGTGATAAAATAAAAGGGAAAGGAGAAAGGGGAATAGAAATGAGCGGGGGACCATCATCAAAGCGTCCAAGTACGCAGCATCCAAAGTATGCCAGCTGAATAGCCGCCACCTAGCTTCAGGCCTAGAACGGGCGGGCAGCGCTTGTCGAACAGCACTGCGGATCCGAAGGTTGGGAGTTGGGACTTGAATTGTGAAAAACCGCCCGCCCACCGCCAAACGCAAACACCGCAAAATGCACGCCCAAAACGCCAACGCAAACTTCGCAAAAAAAATCGCCCCTACGCAGCATCCAAAGTACGAAACATCCAAAACCGCAGCGTCCAAAGTACGCAACATCCGAAATACGTCCAAAATCGACTATATAGGGAGCATTCACAACGTACAAAACCATCCCAAACCGCAACATCAAAAAACGTATCATCCAAGTAGGTACGCAACATCCAAGTACATAGCCTCCAAAAACACAACATCCAAAATCGCACCACATTTGGGGTGCTGCTGCACGTGCGCACGTGCACCGGTCGATTCCAGATCTCGAGAATGGCTGAACCGATTGCGCTCAAATTTGGTACAAGGCTAGGGACCAGCTAGAAGAGTGTCGTGCAAAAGTCCGTTGGGACCCACTTTGCACGTGCGCACGCTCAGGGTGCCGCTTCCAGATCTCGAAAACGGCTGGGCCGATTGCGCTCAAATCTGGCACATCGCTAGAGACCGGTAAGTAGGGTGCCGTGCACAAGTCAATTGAAAGTACCCCCTCGCAATTCCGCACGTGCAAGGCACACCCTCTCCCTCGCTCCGTTTTTCGCCCACAAAAGCCGTTTTATTGGTCTTATAGCGTTCTGGCATCTGATTGACTAACGATACCACGCACTTGGTTTCAATGCCCTACACCTCCAACACTTGACCTGGGTTTGTTGACCTGAAAGGTCAAAACCCTCTTGCGATGGCCGGGAATCGAACCCGGGTCAACTGCTTGGAAGGCAGCTATGCTCACCACTATACCACCATCGCCAACATGCGTTTGACAGCCGGTCCGTGAAGGGACCAGGGCTTTTTCACGGTGTCACGTTTTTCGTGACATTTTACCGCCCGGCCGGTAAAAGCGGGGAACAGCCGCCACCTAGCTTCACGCCTAGAACGTATAGTTTTAAATCTCACCGCCAGGTGGTGCTCGACTTCACAAGATGAATGACCAACGAAAGGAGACCGCGAAGCATCTGACCAAAATATGCGCGAGGAATACAAAATGAAACGTTGAGGAGGCTGGGAAGAATTCTACCATTTCCCATCCATTCCACAGCTGCATTATCTCATCTATATTCTACTCCAGCTGCATTACTCCCATTCCCAATCCCACGGCCTATCATCTCCAGTCCCAGCTCCCGGCGTCCTGCAGTGTCCCCGCCCACCTCCTAGCTGCAGTGTCTGTCCAGTTCCCTTTCCAGCTGCACCATTTCGATTCTCGCCGTTTCGCCCCGTATCCGCAATACACATCTCCCCGTTTCTCCCTGCAACCTGCAGCACATCCCCGTTTCTCCCCGCACCTGCAATGTCTCTCCGATTTTCCCCTGGCTGCACTACCTCCCCGATTCTCGGCGCACCTGTAGTGTGTCGGCCAGCTGGTGCACCAGGTTGGAGTACGGCGTCGGCAGGCGCCGGAACAGCGGCTCCACCAGGTCAGGCCGCGCACGGCTCAGCGGGTAGTAGTGACAGAACTCGGCGCATGGCAGGCCGCTCACCAGGCCGTGCACCCGCAGCAGGTCACCTGAGTGTATCAGACAGACCAACGGGGGTTAGAGCAGATCGACACATCGAAACACAGTGGCAGGGACAGTCTGAACAAAACATCCCCTGTCCGTCTACTATAGTCCGGAGTCCGGACCTCCTCCCTTCGACCCCACCCACCGTCTCTCCAGCTCCGCGGCTGCGCCGTCCGACTCACCGTGCGGTACGGCCAGCACGTCCACGTCCTGCTGCAGGTGGCGCAGCTGCACGCCGCGCTCTGTGAGGAAGGCCAGGTTGTCGGCCAGCAGCGGCAGGCCGGCGTCCGTGGGCAGCCGCCACCGGGCCGCCTCCCGCTCGGCGCACGACCAGCTCAGGCCCAGCTCCCGGCGCAGGAAACGCTCCACAAACTTGCGCCGCGAGCGCGTCGGCTCTGCATAGGCGGTCTCGGGCCGGCCGGCGCGGTCGCCGGCGCCGCGCGAGTCGTCCGCGTCGTCCGAAGGCAGGTGGAGGGGTGCCATGGTGGGCCGTTGATGAGTCAGAGAGAGCACAACACACCGGGAGGCAGGGGAGCAGAGACCAGCCAGGCGCCGCAGCAGAGGTATGGGCAGCTCCAGCAGAGGCATGGCAGAGAAGGGTAGATGCTAGCTCCCACAAACCACCTGGTCTGAAAAGGCAGAAATGGCTGTAAGATGAGCTTAGACCATCCATTTATCCATCCATCCATCCATCCAGACATCCAATTGTCCCGCTTTTTTTTCTTTCTTGACCTCTACTGAACTGTGCAAACCCAGATTGAGTGAAGCACTGAATCTATATATCTCTCTTAAATAAGCCTTCTTGACAATGTGCACCTATATCCAGTATCCAGACATTCAGAACAGAATCAGTGCCTGCTAATCCATTGTAAACATCAGTCAGCTAGGACTTAGGTAGGACTTAGGAGGCAGAATGGAAGGAAACCAAGAAAGAAAGCCTAGCACTGAATCTGATGGCAGGGAATATGTGAAAAGATTCTCAGAGAAATAATTAATGCTTGAATTTTACAAACGAAACGGTTTAACCCTATTCCTGGCGGGGGGGGCCTCAGGAGCCCCCCCCCTGAGGTTTTTTGGTTATATCTCCCAAACGCGTTGAGCTAGGAAGCTCAAATTTTCTGACTTTTCCTAAAAGGCTTCTACGCAACATGTCTGAAAATTTTGAGTTGATCTGACCTCAGGTCAGGTCACCAGAGGCGGTTTGGTGACGCTACCTCAGAAAAGTTTGCAATCACGCCAGAGCTAGAGTTTTTGACCGATCAATTTCTTCTCTTCAGGGTTTAGTTAGGGTACCAGTATGTGCAATTTGTATATCTCGGAATTTTGATATCGGTGACCTAAGGTCAGGTCAATTTCGCGACCTCCCCATTATAAGTCAATGGGGGAAAAATCAACTCCCTGTTTTTACCACTAAAACGGGTCGGAATGGCCCCATATACCATACATGACTTCATATACGATCAAACTTCACTACCTTGAGGTCTGTTTTGCTGTTGGGCAGCTGTGAGGTCATGTGACGTCATCAAAGGTCACCAAAGGTTTTTGGCCAATAACTCCGTACAGGAACAAGATACAGACTCGTGGATGGTCTCATTGTGTTCAGCTCGTCAAGACGCATCGAATGATATACATGATGACCTCGAGGTCACGTGACCTGAGGTCAACCTTTGACCTTGACCTTTCGAGGTCAACATATATATCATTCGATGCGGATTGACGAGAGGATCACGATGATGCCCTTAGTTTGTTCCTATCTTGACTAATTCGAAAGTTATTCGAGAAAAACTCTCTCCATATCTAGTGCCGCCATTTTGACTTTTTCGACCCCTGTGACGTCATCTTTGACCTGACCTGAAAATGACCTTAGTAAAAATTGTAGATCTTGGCCGTGCGTATCCGATGCCGTTTACCGCTTGTCGCTATCTTGCTTCGTTCTCGAGATCTCAGGGGGGGGCCGAATCGGCCCCCCCCCCGCCAGTTTCTTGTCCCGGCGGAGCCCGCCAGGAATAGGGTTAAGCTGAATTTTCCACAAGGAAGCTTCAACTTCAACTTTTGGCACGATGTGCCAAAATTTTGCTCCAAATCGCTTCAATAAATTTTGATGCATGAGAGTTAACAGGGTGTCCAGCATAGTGTATGGATTTTTTACCAGTCTGAATTTAAAGCACTATTCATAACAATAATACAATAACCTAAACAAAATAATTACAATAGAATATTGCCTATTTGAACTTGGATGCTGCGGAAGTCAAATCTCCTACTACATTGATATCATATTATACATTATCATATCAACATCATCACCTTGCAAACTGACAGATCAAATTTTAACAAAATCTGATCTCAATCTCAAGTTGAAGTGAGAAGCTGAGGCCGTGTGCGCAAAATCGCTGAGTTCGGATGACCTTCACCGTTTCCTTAATATTACATGATTTCTCGCTCAGTCAGAGACAATAAAATGTAAGATTATTTTAATCAGCGCGTTTCTCAAGCCGATTTTTGCAATTTCAAGTTTCGAGCACTTATGCTTGCTTCGGCTTTACTTGTGTGTTTGCCACTGGAAATCGGCGCTCCATTATTCGTCTCTCGTGCGTGTTTTATGTTATTTAATTTGGTAGCAGCAACTGATTAAGCTGCTTCCATATCGTGATTTTTTTTGCCGCTTCTATAGTTTCCTTTCTTGAACTAATGCAGGATCGCGGAATACGTGCATGCGGAATGCCATAAGCGTAGGAACCATGGGTGCAAGGGTGCAGCTGCACCCACAATATTTATCCAGTGGGTGCAGACAATGTATTCTGCACCCACAATAATCTGAACCAAAAACCCCTTTTTCATAAACACTACTTCCCATGCAGCACGGCAAATTCAGGATATGTTGCCTACTATCCATCTTTCGAAGCATTTGCTACTGTGATCAGTGATGGTCTTCAAAACTTACATTTGTGCTGAAAAAAGGAAAATGGAGCATGTGATTGAACACATACCGAACCGATGACCCACTCAAAAATTTTAGCCCGATATCTTCGAAAATGGCTAAGTTGGCCGCTTTTGCTTTTTGCGGTAGTCAATATTGACAATATTAGCCCTCGACAGGGACGTAGCCAAGGGGGGGGCGGAGGGGGCGCCCGCCCCTCCCTTGGGGTTTTCAGGAGGCCCCCCGAAAGGATTCAGGCCAACGTGGGCCGAAGGCCCACGTTGGCCTGAATCCTTTCGGCCTGAATTCAACGTGGGCCTTCGGCCCACGTTGGCCAAAATCACGTCGGAGGCGAACGAAATTCACCCGGGAATCTAAAAAATGACGTCAGAACAATCAGGGCCCTCTGACCAGCCTGACAAGTGACAGCTAGGGCCCTTCTCATCTCCTGTGAATAACCACTAGTGTCTGTGTCTGACCGCTAAGGCCCCTCTGGCTCCTCAGTAGAGAGGAGGCCCTCTGTGGGTAGGAGGCCCTGTGTAGAGAGGAGGCCCCCTTAGAGAGGAGACCCCTTGTAGAGAGGAGGCCCTCTGCAAAAAGGAGGCCCTCTGTAAAAAAGAGGCCCTCTGTAAAATAGAGGCACTCTGTAAAAAGGAGGTCCTCTGTAGAGAGGAGGCCCTCTGTAGAGAGGAGATCGTCTGAAGAGAGGAGGCCCTCTGTAGAGGAGGACTCCCTCAGTAGAAAGGAGGTCCTCTGTAGGTAGGAGGCCCTCAGTAGATTGAAGGCCCTCTGAAGAGAGGAGGCCCTTTGCAGAGATGAGGTCCTCGGTATAGAGGAGGTCCTGTGTAGAGACGAGACTCTGAAGAGAGGAGGCCCTACATAGATAGGAAGCCCTCTGTAGAGAGGAGGTCCCTGTAGAGACTAGAGAGGAGCCGAGGCCCTCTGTAGAGAGGATGCCCTCTGTAGAGAGGATGCCCTCTGTAGAGAGGATGCCCTCTGTAGAGAGGATGCCCTCTGTAAAGGAGGCCCTCTGGAGAGAAAGACACCCTCAGCAGAGAGGAGGCCCTCTGTAGATAAGAGGCAATCTGTAGAGAGGAAGCCCTCTGTGGCTGTGTTGGTATTTTTACGATGGATGCAATTACCCAAACCATTTATCAGACCGTGGTGATACCTATTGCCATAGCCATGCTTCGCACAACTCATAATAATTTATTTGACCGGGAAATTAATATAATACCTATCCATCGATTGTTTGTTTCATCTACGGCGTAAATGAAGCAAACCACCTGGACCATAGGAAAATTTACTAACGAAACCATGTTTTACTTACAGCAAGTAAACGTGGCATCATTCACACATAAAAAATTGATAACCGTATAGTTTCAATCTTGCAGACGTCAGTCAGGTCAGAATCGTGACAAGCCTATTGGAAAATATAATGAACTGTGTCCTGCTTCGAGAAAACGAGTCAAAACCACCCAATTCTTTCTGAATTAGGTACGTCAGGTCAGATTATCTGATCTGTAAGCACCCAGGTGGCATGTACTGACAGGGGCACCGGGAAGGATCATCTGAGGTGAGGTGAGGTCATCAACAGTTTTTAGCCAATAAATCACGACATGATGGGGCTAGATAGTTGTTAGTGTACCAAACCGTTCGCCTGGTCATGACGCGCCGATTGGTACCCAGCGTGACCTTCCTAGGTCAGATTTTGAAGTTGACCTATCTATGTAGGTCGTTATAAACCATGTTATTTGTTATGACCTCTGGCGACCTCAATATTGACCTGACCCAAAAAAGTTGTTTACAAAAGTTGTAAGTCGTTCAACGAACTATCAAACGCCGTTGCCGTTTGTCGCTACGATTCGTGCTTTTCGAGTTCTGACGGGGGCCAAAAAGGCCCCCGCCCAATTCAGAGCCTTTCAGAGCCCGCCCGGAATACGGTTAAGCGCTTGAACGATATATGATAATACACCAAGTGTTACTCTGACCGTCATCCAGTATCCATCCATTCCTCGCAGATCCTCCCCCTCCTGCTGCGGTCCGGCCGCCACCGCCGCCGCCGCCGGCGCCCGAGTTTTTTTTTTTTTTTTGCCAGTTACCATGCCACTGGGAGACTTGTGATATGCGTATGTTTCTTACCGCGACAGCGGTAAGAATAAAGAAACATACCAGTGCGCTGGCCATATGAAAGCTGAACAAAAGTCTGCATTATGTTGTATATGTAATTATGTAGGCATGAGACCCTCTGTAGAAAGGAGGCCCCTTTAGGGAGGAGGCCCTCTATAGAAAGGAGGCCCCCGGGATTCCTCCGCCCCTCCCTTGGCCAAATCCTAGCTACGTGCCTGGCCCTCGAATGTGTGCAGCGCTTTCCAGCTTCTAATCTGTAGGGGGAGGGGGTCGGTCGGACCCCCTGGCGTTCGGCCCCTGATCGAGCTAGAGCTTCGCGGAAAAAACGGGGGTGTTGCCCGTGACGAGAGGAAGCCGATGATACCCAATTTTAAGGTCCTACTTCATTGATTGACCTTCCAGGTCAGGTCAATATTCCAAAAGTCGGGAAAATCGGGACCTGCTAGAACTGCGTAAAGTGAAGCTGTTATCGGGTTTTTCGGGGTGCTGATCACAAATATCTGATGTTAGTTTTGATCACAGATGATTTCTTCATGCATTTAGGCCAGATCGGGTCAGGTCAGGTCAGGTCAACCATTAGGCGTCCTACCGGCTATCCATAGTAGGTGTCAACTACCACTGACGGCGTCGTAGCATGTCACGAAAGCACTAAAACTACTTCGTAAACGTTCAAATGGATGCTAAATTCGAAATCAGCCCTATATCCCAGCCAGCAATTCGCTTGGGCTGAACTGTGGCAAACGTCGGGCAGCTTGGGCTTAGCTTGGGTTTGCCCACTTTGATCAAAACCAATGCATTTTTTACTAGGGCTGAGCTGGGGCATGCCGCAGCTATGCCCACGTGCGGATAGCAGTAGCTCAGCCCGACATCTGCCCGCGCATCCAAAACAGGCTTAACTTGGGCGGAGCGCGGGCTTATCAAGCTGGCTGTGTCCTTCGGCTAACTGGAGTAGGTACAGCCGGAGCTTAGCCATACTTGTTCGGCTGTTCGCGCATGCGCAGTTCTGCGCCAATCATGCGCAGCGTTTGTGACAGTCTGTGCGCTGTGCGACGAAACGACACACCGGTGTTGGGGCATTTGGTGGTTGATGTTTGGTTGCGTGTGACAGCGCGAAGAAGGGATAGTGCTCACTGCTCTTATCAAGTGGACTGGCATGGAGTTTTACGGTAGGTAAGTGTATTGAATGGTGCGCTTGATCGTAGGGGAGAGTGGGGTGGGTTGTATCAGTTTTTACTCCGAGACCCATAACCTCGTAACTATCCGTGATAAACTCATTATTTCCATACTATCCCCTTCCTTGATTCTTCTGCTTTTTTGTGCAAAGTAACTTTTCCGCTACCTCTACCAGTTTTTCTTCTACGGTCTGCCGAATAGACCAATGTTTTTGATACAACTTGCCCCATGGCTTGGGTGAGTTGTAGGGGAGAGTGGTGCAGGAGGCCCCCCCTTAAGCTCAGTTGCTATTTTTAGACAACTGATAATATTTAAGAGCTAACGTGTGCATGCGCTGTGAGCATGCATCATTTTCCCATACATATTTGCATTCAAAATGAATCTAGGGGGTACACAAACCGTAAACTTTAACATTTTGGAAAAAGTTGCAAAAGGGCCTCTTACACTATGGGTATGGTAAGACGCCCCCCCCCCCTCGGGCGTTTAACAAGGCAAGTCGACTTGTAAAAGACGTTTTGCGAACACAGCTGCAAGGCCTTTTATTTCGAAAAGCTAAGCAAATACGGTGTTATCGAAACCAATAACACTTCCAAAGCGCTCGAACAATGCGAAAACTAGCACAACCAAACGCTGATGACCAACGAAAATTGTACCTATTACCTCTAGAAAAAGAAACAGAAAAAAAAAGAAACAAAAAAAAACTCCTTGAAAAAAGAATGCCACGCCTGCCGCAGGTGCAGGCGTTTTAGCATCGGGGGCGTTTTTTATCGGGGGGCGTTTTATAATCCTCGAAGGGAGGGCCTCTTAAAAAAATGCAGTGTTTTAACGTCACAATATTTATGGTTTATGAGACATTTGCAGCGCACCAGAACATGGTCTATTCTGAAGCTAACATGTGACAATTTCGATGAGATAAGATTGCATTTGATAGCCATTGTTTTTTCAGATATATAAGGGTGATAAAGATGCATATATCTAGCAAGTAAAGGGGCAAAAACAGAAACAGGCTTACCAAAAGTCGCTGCGACGCACCTGATACCTCAGGTTTCGTGAGTTGTTGTTTCAAGAGGGCTTCTGCTTTACAAGAACATCAAAAAATAAATAACATTATTGGTTTGGTAAAAAAAGCGATGGGGCCTCTTACCGACCCTGGGCGTCTTACACGGATCTCCCCTATCACATGGTGGGGTAATTTGTATCACTATTTCACGTTTCAGGGAGTGTGCTTGCTACTGGTTTTGAACATAACAGCAACATTAAATGGGGTTAATACAATGTATAGGTATGCTCAAAGGCTTCACTTTATTAGACCAAACTTAGGTAAATGCAATCCGAA